GATAAGGTGACCCTCAGGGTCCCACTCCTGTGGCGCTGAAGGGGAAGGAAGGGGTTAAACTCATCTTTCTCCAGCGCCGGGCTTCCTCGGTGCTGGGGACTCTCCTCCCTCTTCTGACGTCCCGGGCTGAATGCGCATGCCCAATCAATAATAAAGCATTTTCAAGGCTTTCCTATGGACGCTGGCGTCTTCTCACTGTGAAAATCACAGAGAGAAGCGTGGAAGCACCTCTAGCGGCTGTCAGTGAGACAGCCACTAGAGGTTGGATTAACCCATATGTAAACATAGCAGTTTCTCTGAAACTTCTATGTTTACAGCAAAAAGGGTTAAACCTAGCTGGACCTGGCACCCAGACCACTTCATTAAGCTGAAGTGGTCTGGGTGCCTATAGTGGTCCTTTAAGCATATGATCGCTCTTTAGTATGTCCCAGTGTTTAGCTAACACTTTTTTAATATATTGAGATTGGTTACTGTATTTCGTTACAAAGGCTGGTGCTCTCTTTTGGTCTTCTGGTTGTGATTTCTTCTTATAAAGTGTATGTTCTCTTTGTATAGATAGGGCCTTCTCTGCTTGTTCTAGGAGCGGTCCTGGGTATCATTTACTGCAAATCTCTGTTTCATTTCATGCATCTGACTTTGACAAGTTTCCAATTCTGAGCAATTCTTCTAAAGTGTCCGTATGGTATGTTTTCAAGCCAGGTACGTTTATGGTAGCTGTTAAAAGGTATAAAACTATTGCAGTCTACATTCTTCTTAAGTTTTTGTGTAAATACTCCAATTTTAATATAGATCCCAAGATCTAAAAATTCAATTTGGCTTGTAGAGTGACAGAATGTAAATTGTAGATTGTACAGATTATTGAGATACAGTTTTCCAGATAAAAAAGCAATCATCGATGTATCTTTGCCATAGGAACAAATCTGCGCCTAGAGGGCAGTGGTTCCAAATAAATTCATCATCCCACTTGCCCATAAGCAGATTAGTATAACTTGGCGCAAAACGTCTTCCCATGGCGCTCCCTTCTAATTGTAAGTAAAACTTATCATCCGACCAAAAATGAATGCTACACACTGTATTAAAAAATCGATCTGATAATTTAGTTCAGAGTAGGTGGCCAATGAGTACTGTATCGCTTCACATCCTTGGAGGTGTTCTATCACTGTGTACAATTAAGTGACATCCGCTGTTACCAAAAGGATATCTTCTTCCCAGTTGATGTCTGCTAGCAGATTAAGGATTTGTGTTGAATCCTTAAAGTATGATTTAATTTGGTGAACCAGATTTTGTAAATATTGATCCACCTATTTGGGGAAGTTAGAGGTTAAAGAACCTATCCCTGATATGATCGGCCTACCAGGGGGATTGTGAAGTCTCTTATGTATCTTTGGTAGGTGATAGAATATAGGAATCCTGGGGTGGAGAATAAACAAGTATTTGTACTCTTTCCTTGCCATATTCTAATAGTTATTTTAATTTGGCAATAAATGGAACTGTTGGGATCCTTGTCCATCTTCTGATATGTGGATGTGTCTTCAAGTAGTCTTGTATTCTCTTTTTCATAGTCGTCTGTATTTAGAATGACCAATTCACCACCCTTGTTGGCTGATTTAATGGTTATATAATTTTCCTTTATTCGTTTTTTCAGGGATTGTCTCTCTCTATGAGTCAGATTGTCGTTCTTTAATTGTTTATTTCTGTTTAGTTTCCTAAAATCAGCCTCCACCATGTTCTCAAAGACTTTAATTGGTTCACTCTCGACATATTGTGGATAAAAAGTAGAGGTGGGATGTAGATCTGTATGTTCATAGCCATCTGTAGTTATTTGAGTATGCAATGTCTTATCCATAAAAAAAATTTTAATAGTAATTTTACGAATAAATTTGTGTAGGTCTATAAATATATTAAAATCGTAATTCTTTGAAGTAGGAGCAAATTTAAGGCCTTTCTTTAAAAGTGACAATTCTCCATCATTTAAATGTTTTTCTGATAAATATTATTTCTTCCTTTTCAGTTGTGCTATCTCTTCTTGATTTTCTAGTTCTTCTGTGAATTCTCCTAACATTGTTTTTCTTCTCGCCATGGGTGTTCTGAAATCCTCGATTGTGAATCTTCTTTGGGAGACTCTCCCCCTTTTCTCTAAAAAATCATTGTCTAAACAGTTTTGGGCGTTGGTCAAGGAGATCTGCACTTGTCTTCCAAAGGGTTTCGGTGCATATGGAAAAGAGAGAAATCAGAATGTGGTAATCTTGGTTCTTTATTTCTTGGACCTGGTTCAGCTGTCCGTATCACAGATGATTTTTCTTTTAATGGTATTGCAGGTCGAGAAGTGTTTGTGAAGCTAGAGTGGTGTTCATGGTATTTCAAATTTTGAGTTGATTGTACAGCTCTTGATTGCTTGAGGCTTAGATCTTTGCATTTTAGAGGGATGGTGATTAAGGGAGATAGGAAACAAATTTCTTGTAGAAGTGGGTTTAGTGTTGAAATTCCTTTGTTGTGAATGGTAATAGGGATTATATTTCAGGGGTCCTCCTATTCCTTGAGTATGTATTGAGGTAGGATGATCTGTCAGGAGTCCTCCTATTAAATTGATGGGTGGTGTTGTATGCATGATTATATCTCCAGTGATTGGTCTGATTTCTGTAATTGCGGACTGGCATCTGATGAAGTGGTTGTTCTCTTCTCCAATTAAATTGTCTCTGTTGTTTGTAATCAGTCTGATCCCTGATTATTTTCTTTCTTTTATTCTCTCTGATTTCTTCCGCCAAATCTTTTATTCTTTTCTCCATTTTATCCAATAATGTTGTATATTCTCCGTTTTCCACTAGAGGGCGAATTTGGGGTTTTAGATAAGGGGTCACTACTCCTGATGGTGTTTCTTATTAATGAGAAGAAAAAAAGATCTAGAGAAACGTGATCAAGAATTTCCCACTCTAATCTCTGTGTTATTCAGTTTATAATGTTAAACCTTTAAACAAGTTGAGACACATGCTATCGTGGGAGACAGTTAGGTACACAATATAGCTTGGAAGAATGGTTTGGATTTTTTACTGCACTTATTGTAATTTCTTACTTCACCGACCATCTTGAAAACCACTATAAGATCTTATATCATTGGTACCTGGCTCCGTCTAGACTACATAACATGAACAATACGTATTCGGACTGGTGTTGGAGAAATATGGCACACATATGGTGGTTTTGTCCTAAACTAGTCAATTATTGGAAAATGATCCATGGTTTGATCATGAAAGTGGATCAGGCATTCTAACATCAGAGCTAGCATTATTTAAGAAATTCCTGGAGTCTGTTACGAGGGTCGATGGAATAATAATAGGCCACATCCTAATTGCAGCTATCTCCATGTCTACCTCGATACTGGAAGTCCAAAAATTTACCTACAAGTAAAGAAGTATTGAACATGGTTTTAGATAATAAGGCAAATTAAATGTCGTTCAGAAAAAATACACTTCCATTTGCAAACCTTCAACATATTTGGGACAAATGGGAGGAAGACATTAAAAGAATTTACTGCTTATAGAATACATATTTTGTTGAGTTCAAACGATACATAACAAAAGTTTTGTACAACATTCGATGTGTTTACTAATATGTATGGATCCCCTTTCCTATTTCCAAGTTTCCTTTTTCTTTCCTACCCCGAATAGTATGTTTGACAATTCTTTATTATTTGCTGTAAAACATTAGAACTTTAATAAAAATTATTTGAAAAGATCTCATGAATGAGTGCCTCAAGGTTACTCCCATTAGATGGGACGGGGGGCAAAAACGACTCCACTAGGGATTTCTTTCACATGTTCAGGCTTTGAATGGTAGTATAAAAATAATTTTTATTCAAAACCATCAAATTAAATTACAAAAAGATAACCACTGAGCCCAAATTACTAGGTATATTACTGCACCTTAATTTTGGTTCTACTTTGCTGTTGATCTACCACAGGTGCAGTGATTATTCCTGATATATACTCTTTAATCAGAGGCTTAGTGGTTATTCCTGAGGAATCTGTGTGCTAACAATCTAGATTATTTACATTACCCCGCTGTCAGTATGACCTTTTTTATGATGAACCAATTATTTTAGAGCAAGAACTCTTTTTTTTTTATCTATGAGGCTTAGGCTTCTAAAAGGGACCTTTTGAATTTTAATTTTATATCTTTAGCTATATTGTGTAAGATTTGTTCTCAATAACCTTTCTAATGTTTCCGTCTAAACTTGCTACATTTATATTTTAGAAATACATTTGATATACTGTTGCATTTATAGCAACTTAAATTCAGTACAATATTTGATTGCCATACTAATATCTCTCTGAAAATCTAACTAAGATTACATTTTTTGGGGATCTATTTCCCCCTCCTTTACCACAATTGTTTCCCCCTTTTTTGAAAGGCGCATTCATTCAGTAAACGTCCATCAAATATGTAAATGACCGATGTGATGTGCGTGAGCTGAGCGAACGTACACGAATGAATGCTCCATTTGGGTGGCGCGTTTGGCCTTTTGGATTACAAACGGTAATGCAAAAGGCTGAACACATAATCAGAATAAACGAATGCTGCATGGAAAAAAATTGTTTGCTGTTTGTTCGTTCAGTTTTTTCGTCAATTTAGATGAGACAACTTTTGTCCAAAAGCGAATTACCAAGTCTAATATATCTTGGTGCTTACCCTTTTGTCTGGCAGTTTAATATTAGTAGTTGACTGCAACCCATTGCTTGATAAGTTACATAGTTACATAGCTGAAAATAGACTTGCGTCCATCAAGTTCAGCCTTCCTCACATATGTTATTGCTGTTGATCCAAAAGAAGGCAAAAAACTTAGTCTGAAGCGCTTCCAATTTTGCAACAAACTAGGAAAAATTCATTCTTGACCCTAAAATAGCAGTAGGTTACCCACTACCCATCTGCATAGAAGTGTGTGTGTGTGTATATATATATATATATATATATATATATATATATATACATGAAAAGATAAAATAAAATATTTACAAAAATGTGAGGGTGTAGTCACTTTTGTGAGATACTGTGTATATATTTATACACAGTATCTCACAAAAGTGACTACACCCTCACATTTTTGTAAATATTTTATTTTATCTTTTCATGTGACAACACTGACGAAATTACACTTTGCTACAATGTAAAGTAGTAAGTGTACAGACTGTATAACAGTGTAAATTTGCTGTCCCCTCAAAATAACTCCACATAAATGTCTAAACCGTTGGCAATAAAAGTGAGTAAACCCCTAAGTGGAAATGTCCAAATTTTGCCCAAAGTGTAAATATTTTGTGTGGCCACCATTATTTTCCAGCACTGCCTTAACCCTCATGGGCATGGAGTTCACCAGAGCTTTACAGGTTGCCACTGGAGTCCTCTTCCACTCCTCCACAATGACATCACAGAGCTTGTGGATGTTAGAGACATTGTGCTGCCCCACAGATGCTCAATAGGGTTTAGGTCTGAAGACATGCTTGGCCAGTCTATCACCTTTACTTTTAGCTTCTTTAGCAAGGCAGTGGTAGTCTTGGAGGTGTGTTTGGGGTCATTATGTTGGAATACTGCCCTGTGGCCCAGTCTCCCGAAGGGAGGGGATCATGCTCTTCTTCAGTAAGTCACAGTACATATTGGCATTCATGGTTCCATCAATGAGCTGTAGCTCTCCACTGCCGGAAGCACTCATGCAAGCCCAGACCATGACACTCCCACCACCATGCCTGACTGTAGGCAAGACACACTTGTCTTTGTACTCCTCACCTGGTTGCTGCCACACATGCTTGACACCATCTGAACCAAATAAGTTTGTCCTGGTCTCATCAGACCACAGGACATGGCTCCAGTAATCCATGTCCTTAGCCTGCTTCAGCAAACTTTTTGTGGGTCTTGTGCATCATCTTTAGAAGAGGCTTCCTTCTGGGATGACAGCCTTGCAGACCAATTTGATGCAGTGTGCGGCGTATGGTCTGACCACTGACAGGCTGACCCTTCCACCCCTTAAACCTCTGCAGCAATGCTGGCAGCACTCATACGTCTATTATCCAAAGACAACCTTTGGATATGACACTGAGCACCTGCACTCAACTTCTTTGGTCGACTATGGCGAGGCCTGTTCAAAGGGGAACCTGTCCTGTGAAACCGCTGTATGGTCTTGCCCACCTTGCTGCAGCTCAGTTTCAGGGTCTTGGCAATCTTCTTATAGCCTAGGCCATCTTTATGTAGTACAACACTTCTTTTTTTTTCAGCATCTCAGAGAGTTCTTTGCCATGAGGTGCCATGGTGAACTTCCAGTGACCAGTATGAGAGAGTGTGAGAGTGATACCAAAGACCACACCTGCTCCCCATTCACACCGGAGACATTGTAACACTAACGAGTCACATGACACCGTGGAGGGGAAATTTCTAATTGGGCCCAATTTGGACATTTCCACTTAGGGGTGTACTTACTTTTGTTACCAATGGTTTAGACATTTAATGGCTGTGTATTGTTATTGTGAGGGAACAGCAAATTTACACTGTTATACATATAGGCTGTACAGGCTTACTACTTCACATTGTAGCACAATGTTTTCATATGTATATATGAAAATTGTGAAGAAACCACCATATTATTCTGGACTTTTATGTTTTATTGGTTTGGTAGCTGTGACTACCGAACACCGACCACCCCACTGGCTCATTATCTTCAAAGAGAAAAGTAAATTAAGGGCTTTCCCTGTGTGGCCACCGTTTGTATAGTCTAATGCCATGTGCAGGAGAAAACGGCGTCCATCTTGTTAGCACGAAAGGCGGCAGCGGGACTTGGTCCTTGGGTGTCTGGAACTAAAATCAGACACTCGACTTCCCGAACACTGGTCAAACTATTTGAACGCCTGCTTCCTTTGCTCGAACAGCCAGGAGATCGCTGTTCGGTAGTTTGGTTCCCACGAACTAGGGGAACAATCGCTGCTATGAGCCAGGGGGTACCATTTGTGTATTTGTTCGTTTTTGAGACTTTCCGAAATAGACCGACCACACAACTTAAACTCATGGAACTGTTTCTGGGCAGGAGCCTCGTGTGCGGTCAGTCAAAATTAGACTTCCATGAAATTCTAAAACCCCTGAACTGATATGGGTGATTTTTGGATATGTTGGTCATCCAGATCAGGGCTATCAGGGCATTTAACATTTATGGGAACTTTGTGTTTTGGGGTACTTTTCAAGTTTTATGAATTTTTTTTTTTCTGCCTGGAGATAATTTAGTTATAACAGTATCTGACTCAATTATCTCACGGGCAGAGAGGAGGGAATTATCTGTTTGTATTGGGAGTGTCACACTTTGTCACTGTCTTATTATTGGTTGTAAACTTTGTGTTGGAGTCCCACACAAGGTGCATGGAGACTTGCATAAAAGCCAGGTTGGCACCATTAAACTTCATTCCTGTTGTACCCTAAATCTAGTCTAGGCTGCTGTTTGGCTAACTAGATAAAAACACACATTTGGGTCAGCGCTTAGTAACAGTGAAAGATAAACAGCAAGGCTGCAACCCTAAGAAGGGGATCCCTCTAAACCCTTCAAAATGACACAAGGAAAAAGACAGAGAAGGGCTGCACCACATAAAATGTAAACAGATAGTACTGTGAATCTTGTTCCAGCAGTGCAAAATGTCATATAGAAGTGAAGACGTAGATGCAACTGTGGTATCTAAGTTCTTTATGCTTGGGGATGTGGAAGATCTGAGTGTCTTTAGTCTCCGTATGTGGGTAAAAGAAATACAAAATAACCTAATAGTGCAATATGTAAAGACTTGATAGGCAATGAGTAAATAATGATATTGCACTCACATGAAAAAGAGCTTGACCAGCTCCAGTGTGTATCGCATATAGTGGTATAATCCCCACTTTTGGGATATGGTGAAGGTCGTTCACAGCAGGTGGTTGTCAGAGTGCTCAGAGAGGGAATAAAAACAGCCACAAATAGGGTTCTCAATAAGACAATAAAAGCTGTATAAAATTAAACGGAAATGTACTCACAAGTATAGAGAAGGCTCACTGCTCTATGATAGTGTTGGTGGTATGATCCGCACCTAGGATTTTCTTGAGAGTAGGGATGATAAGGTAGGATAAGAAAAATAAAACAAAATGCCAGGAATTTTTTTTTTTTTTAAACCATAATCTTTTATTCAATCAGATAAAAAATGTCCATAACGCGTTTCGTCATAGCAGACTTTCTCAAATGGATTAGACACTTAAAAATTGCGCCAAAACTATGTGCACCAATCACAATAGTAATGATATTAGTAAAAACAGGTACATAAATAGTTTATTTTAAAGAATAGAAGTGAAAGAAACATTTGATATTAAATTATATGAAAAACAAGGGCAGGAAAGGGCTAAATATTGAAATGGAAAGTCTTCATGTGACTCGCAGCACTTTGCCGCTTGGTAAATGTATTTTCTGGCAGTATTTTAAGGGACGAGGCGGCCGCTATTGTAATGAGCGGCGTGCACATAAACTGTAAGTGCAGTAAAGGGGGCGTGTGGCCGCCGTTCTGATGAGCGCCCATGGATAATAGGTGTGGCTGGTGCGGACTGTCTTGGGTTGTTGAGGGCTGGCTAAACCGAGCAGGTGATTTGCTGCACTTTGCCGCTTGGGAAATGTAGTAAGAATGAGTTTGTGCAGCCGTAATGAGGATAGGTGGTATGCACATAAATTATAGTGAAGGGGGCGTGTGCGGCCGCTGTTCTGATGGGCGGTACATACATGAATGGTAGGCATGGCTTAAGCAGCATATCTGGGATAATAGAAAGTGATAGCCAAAGGAAAAAGGGCAAGGAGTGCTACACTGCCATATTTGGTATGGCTAAAAAAGCATAAAAAGTAATGTAGGGCAATGAATAGTAAATGGGCATATATAGAAAGAAAGCTTAGTGGCCATATTTAAAGAGGAGCATCCTAATATCATATAATAAATACTTGATAAATACTTGATATACAATGATCCTAAAAGAGATTATAAAAGGCACAATGGTAAGTAGCTAGATAAGTTATTAACAAAAGGGAATATTTAAAAAGGGAATATTAAAAGATAATTGATATAGGTTAGGCGATTAAATATGTAAAAGACACTAAAACGAAGTGGTTATGGTAAGGGTGTTCTCAATCGTAATGCCGTAAGTGAAACAACTATGACTAGGATTAACCCAAACCAACAATGATATAAACGCAAAGGAATGCTGATAAGAGTAGTATATCAGATAAAAACATCAAATATACCTTAACCCCTTAAGACCGGAGGGCGTACAATTACGCCCTATTTTAGGCGGCTCTAAACGCCGTCGGGCGTAATAGTACGCCCTCCGGTCTTTCATTACTTACCCGGTCGTCGGCGGTCCCACTGTTTTGAAACACAAATATTTGTGTTCAGCGAAGTCTCCCGAGTAGAACAGTACCCACCATGTACAGGTTTTATGGTGTCTTGGAAAGTTATAGGGTTAAATATAGTGCTAGCAAATTAAATTCCCTTTACTTTCGGCATGGGTTGTCAGGTAGGTCCCGCTAATTGTAATTAATTAAGATACCTAATTATGTAAAAATATTATATAAATATATATGTAGAATTAATATATATATATATATTTGTGGTCAAGGCATAAAGCCGTAGAGTTAGTAAAAACAATTAGGACATGAAGTCAGTTGCGGTGTGCCGTAACTGACGACGTAGTAGGCCTGAAATAAGAGGGCCTACCTCAAGAAATGATTAAAAGGAGGAGTGGTGGGTGGGGCAAATCTCAAGACCTGAGCCGGTAGCAGGTGAAGGGTTGGGGCTCCTTAAAAAGGGGAACCAAGCCCCTCCCACAACTTCAGGCCCTGCTTTCCATTTGTGGTCAAGGCATAAAGCCGTAGTTAGTAAAAACAATTAGGACATGAAGTCAGTTGCGGTGTGCCGTAACTGACGACGTAGTAGGCCTGAAATAAAAGAGGGCCTACCTCAAGAAATGATTAAAAGGAGGAGTGGTGGGTGGGGCAAATCTCAAGACCTGAGCCGGTAGCAGGTGAAGGGTTGGGGCTCCTTAAGAAGGGGAACCAAGCCCCTCCCACAACTTCAGGCC